GAAACATGCCCATATCATGATGCTTGCACCACCATGCTTCACTGTCTTCACTGTGTACTGTGGCTTGAATTCAGAGTTTGGGGGTCGTCTCACAAACTGTCTGTAGCCCTTGGACCCAAAAAGAACAATTTTACTCTCATCAGTCCACAAAATGTTCCTCCATTTCTCTTTAGGCCAGTTGACGTGTTCTTTGGCAAATTGTAACCTCTTCTGCACATGCCTTTTTTTTAACAGAGGGACTTTGCGGGGGATTCTTGAAAATAGATTAGCTTCACACAGACGTCTTCTAACTGTCACAGTACTTACAGGTAACTCCAGACTGTCTTTGATCATCCTGGAGCTGATCATTGGCTGGGCCTTTGCCATTCTGGTTATTCTTCGATCCATTTTGATGGTTGTCTTCCGTTTTCTTCCACGTCTCTCTGGTTTTGCTCTCCATTTTAAGGCATTGGAGATCATTTTAGCTGAACAGCCTATAATTTTTTGCACCTCTTTATAGGTTTTCCCCTCTCCAATCAACTTTTTAATCAAAGTACGCTGTTCTTCTGAACAATGTCTTGAACGACCCATTTTCCTCAGGCTTTCAAATGCATGTTCAACAAGTGCTGGCTTCATCCTTAAATAGGGGCCACCTGATTCACACCTGTTATTTCACAAAATTGATGACCTCACTGATTGAATGCCACACTGCTATTTTTTTAACACACCCCTTTCAACTAATTGCCCAATTGCACAGCCTTAAGAGCGTGCATATCATGAATGCTGGGTCTTGTTTGCTTTCTGAGAATCTACTGCACCTACTGGTAACTTGTTTGCCATGTAGCAATAAAAAATATACTAAAAACCTGGATTATTCTGGTTAGTCACATTGTACTGCTATTATTTTGAACAATACTGTATATTTAAATAATCTTATTGATAATCAGTGATTATTATGACCTTGGTTGGGACCCGCAGTGGAAATGGGGAGCTCTCCAGGAAGCTAGCTAGCTAACTCACTAACACTTACTCTACCTGCTGCCCACATAACGTTACAGCAATGTTCACTGTACCAGAGTTCAAACATGATAAATTTCCGGACACCCACGGACAGTTTGTGTGCTGGCTGCAAGATGTGCACCTGACAACTGACATGCTTTACAATAACAACAAATAACAAAGAAGCATAAAATGCATAGTATAGAAAATAAAAAGTAAAACACATGAAAGAACACAAAAAGGATCTGAAAGTGTCAGGACTCTACTAGGGGATAAAAGCCAGTGTACGCAGATAGGTCTTTAACTTGGACTGAAAATGTGTCAGGTCTGTAGTAGAACAAATACAGTAGCAGCAGTCACAGCAAAACTTCTAGGAGAAGCTCCATTTGGTTTGCATTGTCAGCTGATTAGTTTACTGCATCTAAATGCTACGGTGATGTACAGAACTTTGCTTTACAGAAGCTTTGGGCTACTTTATTTGCTGGCTAAGTATGGCTAGTATGCATAGGCAATCCTATTTCAAAGAGATGAATGAGCCCAGTAACAAAAACCAGTGCAAACACTGGATTGTTGACTATAATGTTATTTTGTCTTTTGTCATAAAAATGCAAAAACTATGCTAACACTTCATTAGAATTTTTGGTTTGTCTCTGTTTAATCTACAATACTGCAGTATAATGTATGTATCTGAGTAAACAGCAACAAATTGTCTAATAAACTGTTTGTATAATTATAGATTCCCACCCCTCACATGGCAGAGCCATGCTGATGGTTCCATGTAGTATTTGGTAAAATTTTTCAATTACTCCTCTTCGCATCAAATAACAGGTTTTTCTCTAAGTGTTCTTGAATGCGGTTATGAGAAATCGTTTGAAGTATTTAATTAGGGGTCGGCCCTTTGATCTAGACAGAAGTAATGTGTGAAAAATGGGGGGAGCCATAAATCATGACTTAACAACTGAGTTTGACAGATGGAGTGCTTTATCATTCTCCCCAGTGTGACTGAGGTGCAAAACCTGGTCAACTCACTGTAAACACAAACGCCGACTGTTTATTCGTTAGTTAGCCAACAGGCAAACAACAGTACCTGACCATTACTTTTAACATCAAACAGTCCAGCACTAACTGCTAATGCTAGCAAGCTTGCCTTATTTGGTTGGGTTGAATTCTCTGTTTTAGCTCTGGCTGTTGTGAGGTCAGGGTCTGGCTCTGCAGTGCATTTTCTAACGCTAACTGCAGTATCCCACCACGGGACGCCATTGCCCTTATGCATCACTCTCATCACTCCAACACTCTCGGTGCCAGTCAATGACAGCGGTGACGCTTGGCCCACCGTGTGTGTGTTAAGGGTTTCATAAAAACTGTTTGCTACACAAAGCGTGCAGTCAGTTTTACTTTCATTGCCGTTCATTGTAACGTTCGGTGACGCTTGGCCCACCGTGTGTGTGTTAAGGGTTTCATAAAAACTGTTTGCTACACAAAGCGTGCAGTCAGTTTTACTTTCATTGCCGTTCATTGTAACGTTAGCAGAGGTTGTTTTTTTTTTTTTTTTTCAAATCTTGTCCCACATTTGTCCAAAACTTAATTGACATCATCCCCAATCCTACTTTTATCAGCCCCAGGATGACAGGACATCCTTAAAATCAAGCCCTGGCAGGTGCTGGCATATCAAATTAATTCCCATGTTTTTTCCAGCTCAGGTGGGTGTAAATGTTCAGATGTCTGCGTGTAATACTCTACTCAGTGTATCATATCCTACTGTATGTTCAATTTTTAAATGGTTCTTGGTTTCACTACTGGTTCTTATAGATAATAAACTGCCTATAGATTTTACCAGGTTTGTTGAGGCTTTATGATTCTTTGAGTGTGGCCATCTTGCAGACCCAGCATGCACCTCTCTGGCAAGATAAAGGCAGTATGACCAAATAATTGCTTAACTAATTCAGCCTCATAAGTCTTTCATGCTAACAGATGTAGGCATGCTAGACTAACATAGTAAAAACAGTAAATATTATACTTGCTAAACATCAGCATGCTACTATTGTCACTGTACGTTAGCATGCTGATGTTAGTGTTTCAATCAAAGCATCTCTGTGCCCAGACACAGCCTCAATAGGCAACTAGCATAACTGTTGATTTGTATATATACAGTAGACGTATCTGTCTGCAGCTTGTATTTTCTGAACACATTATATGCAAACATGAATGGTTAAAAAAATGAACTAATACTTCAAAATCCAGATATAAGTTGGTCAGTGTTCCTGTAACAGTAACAGAACTGACTGACTCTATCTCAGATCATTACTTAATGAGAAGAATACCTAAAGCAACAGCCTGGGGGTAGGAAAGCTGGCTAATCTCTGTAATTTATAAGCTCCTGAGGGAGCAAGGTTAGGCTAACAGGGTTAGCCGTGCTCAGGTCCAGACTGTCTGAGAAGGACTGTATAAGGTGTGTCACTGTGTGAAAAGCTAGAAGCCCTGAAGTAAACCTCCTGAATGCACCTTCTCATACATCCCATTGAGCCCTAGACACAGTATTTCAGGGTTCATAACATCCTCATAACAAAAATCAAAACAAAATCATCCTTTGATTCCATCAAAGACCTACACCTATTATAATTTATCTTACATAAGCTATGACATATTTTTCAGCGCATGACAACACAAGTCCTCCACACACTGAGGATATTCAGTAAAACCTTTCAAAAGCAGTAGTATTCCTTTTCATGGTTAGAGACACAGCTGCTATTTTAAACCTTGTTCCTAAACCACACATGCAGCTTACTTATCCAAGTCACTGTGTTGTGAATTGTAGGGGCACTGCATATAAGGGCCTACTGTGTTTCTTGGCTTTGAAAGTGAGGAGTAAACACACTCTGAACATTTTTGCTGCCTTCAGGAGTGCCTGCAGCACAATGGCCTGGCTCAGTAGGCAGAATAATGACTCATAATGAACATAATGTCTGAGCAAAACTCAGAACATCTCGTCACAGTCTTTAGGAGGTAATAAACACTAATTGACAGCAGACAGTCTGTTTGGGCTGGCAGGCCACAGTACTTCAGTTGCTAAAGATAGTAGTCCTTTGGAAAGACATGTCTAGCTTTGTCATAAAAACATAATGTGTACAACCACGCCACATATGAGACACCTGGAAATATTCATTAACACAAAATAAAGCTCAGCAGCCTCAATCTGTCTCAAAGGAATCGTTTCCAAGTTTAGATCCCACAATTAGCTTTTTGTTTTTCCCCACATACTACAGAATGCTGTCAGTCATAAACATTCATTCAATCTGATCCCCACTGTGTACTTGTGTACTTGCATGGCAATATAAACTGGTGTTCATCCAATCATGCACTTGTATACAAATTAGTCCAATGCCATGCTTTTTTTAAAATGCAAATAAAGTTAGAGTTCAAACAGTGTCTTGGGTGAGCAAGAGCACTCAAACAGCAGTGAAAACACACCAGGTAACTGTGCATAAACATGGCTAGTTTTAGCATTACAACTAAACTCAATCATAAGTTAACTTATAACACTCTATAGCTAACGTATTAGCAAATAGCAGCAAGTCGACACATTCAGCAGACAGGATGCAACATTAGCATCCCTTTGCAGTCGTGTCTCACACAGTATTCACTCTCCTTTGGGCTCTGTTTCATCTTTTGGGCCTAAGCTCTGAGAAAAATCTTTTTAAGTGATTCTTGGCACTGGCCAGATAATGTACAGTGAGTTCATCTGAGTAAAAGAGTAAATGCGTGAACTGTACAACCAAAATAATGAGCTGAGGGAAGCTGCAAATCCAGTCTTTTGATCCAATGTTAATAAAAATACTGATCTGAGCAGCTTCAATATTTAGCATACAATATAACATTATCTTGATACAAATTTCATCAGATTTATTAATGCTGAGATAAGCACATTCTGGTGACATTCAGCAAATAATTTAACCATGTCTCTTCAATTATGTTGATAAAACAAACATAGACCTCCATCATATTATTTCATCAAGCAGCCTGACCTGTCACAAAGGTGGTTCACTGCGCCGAAGGAGTCGCAGGTGCAGGGCAAGCAGCCACTGGTGCCATTGGTGAAGTATCCCTCTTCGCAGTCCTCACACTGCAGACCGCTGTAGCCCGCCAGACACAAACACTGACCTGTGCCCTGTTCACAATCATCTGGATCCAAAATCCCTTCAGCACCGCTGCTGCAGTTACAAATTCCCTCTGAGTGGATGGACAGGCGTTTCAGGACGAAAGGGAAAGACAAAAGATGAGAATTACTATATGAGATGCACTGGCAGTGATAACTATACAAGTCTGAGAAACACATTATTTTATTGTATTCTATTTTATAATTTGGGTATTGTGAGGGCTGATTTATTGTTTAAATTAATCAATCGATTGATCAACACACACATACATAAATAAATAAGTAAATAATTAACACCAAGGCCCGTGGTCTACAAACTAAATGGATGGACTGACTGATAACTCAAAGTAAACAGCAGCAAACCCAATTACGGCAACCAGTAAAATTCAAAGCAATTATTAATGGTGGGTCATTTTGAATGTCTATTAAAAGACATTTCCCCGATATAGTGGTCTGCTCCTGAAGTCATGCCTGTTTTTATTTTATTTTCAGGCTGCGCTTAGACACATAAAACAATATGGTGACCAGCCGAGGGGCCACTACAAGTCTGCAAATCATTTCATGGAAATCAAAACAGAATTGCTCCAATCTGTTGGCAGGATATTTTGATCATACAGACTGCATATTACTAAAATCCCTACAGGCCAATTTAGTAGTCATGCATGTACAGTATGTGTGGTTAGAGAATTCAGCAGACGTCTGTGTGAGTGTTAAAAAGAGAGCTAAATTTTCCTTGAACCGACCACAACAGAAACAGTTCTATGTTTTGTTTGGAAATGAAGAAGTCCTTTTTCTAGTGGCATTATTAATATATTACCCTACCAGCTACAACCTTCAACACTGGTCCCAAAGACTTCTTTTAGTTTGCAATCACTCTGCTCAATATTTCTTTATTACTCACACTGGAACTGTGACATCAATGCAGGGACATTTCATTGAATGGTTGGCTAGTGTGACCATAGCCGTAAACAGTAACACAGAGAGCAGTCAGGTGCAACCAGCACCCCACTATCACTCACTTAAAGTTGCTTTATCCATTGACAGTTTTCTTGTATCATCAACCCCTGGGAGCAGCTCAGTACAAATTGATAAGGAGAGTTGCAAATTCACTTTTCACATCCACATTACACTCATCAACCTAGAAGCTTAAAAATGCAGTGTTCTCAGCCTTGAGTCTACTTCTAGATCCTGAATTTAGAATTTTCATAAAGCATGATTTAAGGTTTTAAAAAGATATCTTGTATATGATTGTTTCACCTCATGATGATTCATCAAACCTAGTAAACTGAGTCTGGCTGGGTTGCAGAGAGAGCACTTTGTGTTCAAACTGGTGCACTTGAAGAAACCAGAGCATACAATGGCAGACATGGGGATGAGTGACAGTAGTACAGAGAGGCCATCTATTATTTATCTGATCTCAGGCTAGGTGTGGCAAGTGACGACTGTATGTCTCCACTATGTGCTTAGTAAACAGACAGGGAAAACAGGCAGAGATGAGATCTAGGAGCAAGACACAACGGTTGGTTCACATGTGGTGTGCACACAGAATACACACAATACCTCAGCTAGCAGTTAGTTAAAGAAGAAAGGGCAGCTGAACTTTAATGTATTCCTGCCCTGGTGCCCCACTCAGATTATGCTGCTCTTCCACTGTTGCTTGGACCTTTATGTAACTTAGAAAGGCTTCTGGTTATGTAAGCCTGTGGAGTAGCTATACCATCAGACCCTCTTCTACTCTGACATTCATTCAAGAACTGGCTGTTCTGATCACACCTAAAACGGTCTGAGGTCTAGGGCATGCTTATAACCTCACACACACCCTTCCCCTAACATTTAACCTAAGCCTAACCTCACCCTAACTTTAAACCATGTTGTTAACCAAAAATTCAGTGATTTACATGGCGGGGACCAGCCCCTGGTCCCCACAATGTAAGTGTGTTAACAGGTTTCGGGCCCCACAATGTAAATAATACCAAAGGCACAAAACACACACACACACACACACACACACACACTATGCAGTTCATTCCTAAATCCATGCTTGTTCTAGGAGTGGGACGGGGGCCCTGTGAGGTGGTCTGTACAGCCTCACTACAGTTTGATGTAGATCGGACTGGACCTGTGTGTAGTGGAGAGAAAAAGGGGTGAAACACAGGCAGAGTTCACCTCACTTCCATCTATCTGACTGTTGTAAAGCGGTGTGACAGCATGGCTGGTATTCAGGCACAGACAATTGCAGGCTGTTCACAACAAGTCAGGTCTCAAAACCCTTCTCTTGCACAATTCACGGCTCACCTGATTGTGCTGCTACCCTGAAAACAAGAGCAGGGGAAGGCGCCCCCACAGGGAAATTCCACTTTCAGTTTTGGCTTGAGAGTCAAATCACATTATCAGCCTTCAGTACTGAGATGTTTCAGGGATAGGACAACCTGAACTATATGACAGCACACCTTGTACTGTACCTGTCCTGTCAGAGACTGTAACAGTAGCTGGATGGCTGCAAGGCATTAACCCAGGTGACGCCTTTATTGACATGATGTTATCAAGCAAGTGGCCTTTACACTAGCACAATAAAGAGTGCTGAAGTTCTCTGCTTTCAATCCAGAAGGGTAAATCTTTCATGTATGATCACCGGTGCAGATTTCAGTTTGACTTCAGGGTTCAAATACACACCAATAAATAACACTGACTGATTTACTTTGGGAAGTACCAAGCATGCACATTTTAGCCTAAATCATTAACAATAGTAAACAGAAATTGCAGTTAACTACAGTAAGGTACAAGGTGATGGATTCTGAGGACCTTTTTCACATGCACGTGATGCACATGTGAAGGAGAGGTCTTTTGTTCCCGCTACAGCCAGACTTTACACTCAATACTGCTCCTAATAGACCACTCACAACAAAACTGTGCAATTAATGACAGTTTGTGCAATAATGTGAACTGAACCATTTAGTTTCGTTTTCCTTCCGTTATCAAATTTGTTGTTGTAACACTGCACCTTCCTCTGCTGTGGGTTTAATAAAAAGGTCATCTTATCTTTATTATCAAAGTAGTTGCAAATCATTTTTAGCTGTTTCCACTCTAAGTGATAAATAAAATTTGTATACATTTATTAGTCTTCAAAGGAAAATCCGGCCTCAAACCCAAGATTTAAAAACAATATGACCAGAAAAATACTTAATAAAATACCATATTTACCAATTTAGAATGACATCATCAACAAAGAAAATACAAAACCAATTCCCAAGCATTATAACTGACCACAAAAATATTCCACTGAACATCCAGGGTAGGGTTAGATCTTTAATGGGCCACTTAATCCCCACTTTAGGCTACAGAGTCTCCCGTCGCACCAATCAGAATGGTGGTGTCTCTTTCTTCCAAAAATCAGGACATATATCCAATATTAGAGCCAGCCATTTATGAGCATGGCACACTAAAACAGCCATTTTGATCAGCTTTTCTAATCCTCCTCCTATCACTGAGATCAATGCTGACAGCAAGTCAGGACACGGTGCGGAGAACAGAGGGTCAATGTAAAAAGCTTGACTGGACTTAACACTTAGTGTGAGCAGCTAATAACAGACTGAATATATGACACAAAGCAGTCCAGTTCGTTCTGGCTTGGGGGCACCATGAAGCAGAGCACACTGTGGGCTGGGGGGAAACAAGGAGGTTTTGTTAGACAATAAAGAAATGATTTTGCAAACAACATGGGAAGCCATTTTTATTTTGTATTCTTCATATTCTTTAAGGAGATGGTGAAATAAATGTGGAGAGCTAAAGACTTTATACACTATCTCCTAATAACAAGAGGGAATGCCTGCTCTGCTAACACAAATCCTTGGCTTTGGCAGACTTTCACAACCATTACCGAACCTTTTTGGACCAGATCCTTCAGCCTCTGCTGGTGTGTAAGCTGAAGAACAACACATCCACATGGATACTGATGTGAGAGGAGGGGCTCCACTGTCATTGCTCATTCATGGCTTAGCCTGCCTGGCCATTTTGGTTGGATAGCCTTGTTCTATATATGCCATGCAAACAACAATAGAGGGGGTGAAGCAGCTATATGAGCAGCTCCTTGTAATTTCCTGTCATTATCAAAACATGTCTGGTCTAACACTAAAAGATCATTGGTAGGTATGGATGCTATGCACACTGACTGAACAACAGGATCACCCTTACACCCCCTCATAGCCCCCCTTTTCCAACCCACTCACATCGTATAATGCGAGGCCTCTGGAATATAATATAGCCCACACAGCAACATCCACATTAGACATATTGTTCAAGTATTGTGTTCTGAGGAATTTGCGATTTCCTGGTCTTTGAGGGGTCTGCCCATTGTTGCAATCAAATTTATTTGGACAATCTCTGCGTCAGAACCAAAGTGCGCCCTTCCAGCCTATATTGAGACATGGGTGTCTTCTTTTTAATTGAAATCTTTTCTGAACGAGAAGATATTAATGATGATGGATAATTCTGTCTTCACTGGTATTGGTAGCCATTTCATTAAAAGGTACTCACCTTGACTGTTCTCTACTGAGGTAATAGATGTGCCAATATTATCTGCAGCCCAGGCATCGTTTGCCGTGCGCTGGGAGACCATGGACACCATGGTCTGCAGCATTTTCGCCGGCGAAAAAAGTGATGTTTGTGCATCGATGGATCGTTTGCGCGCGCCGATTACTCTGGATATTGGCGCTATGATTTGCTCTTTAGTATCTGAAATTATTCCAGTATCAAGGATGGAAGTAGCGCCGGTACTGGTGGTGGTGGTCGGGTTCGTTGTAGGAAGCTGGAAGATGCTCGTAATTTTAGTGACAGGGTTAGCAGTGGTGGTCGGGCCGGTAGGAACAATGGCAGGTGACGGTGTGATTCCGCTTTGAGGCCCAGGAGCAAACCTCTCGGGTAAGGTACGAGGCATGTCGGTGTGGAAGGTCTCCCAGGTGTCGGAGGCTGAGCCGGGGATCCTGGAGATAGGCGACGCATCGTGTTGACTGATGCGAGGTGCAGCAGTAGAAAATCCGATATATACACATAAAGTAAATAGTCTAACCGACGATATGTACATCATTAAGGACGTTAACGTCATATTCGGTTTCAGCTCTCCATGTAAGCTCCAATAATGGTCTCTCTCAGACCTGTCCCTGAATGGATAAGTAGCCTATTCCACCATTGATATCCATCGGGAGGAGTACGCTGCTGCTTGTTGCCCTGTGAGCCACAGTCAAGACTTCACCTGCTTTGCAACCTACCATGAGCCACCCGAGATTGACGTATTCTTGCGCCAATGGGAGCCCTGACAGCTCTGGTCGATGTAACGCCCACTGAGACAATACTAAATTATCAAACGCTCTCTATGAAAACGTAACCTATGTTCCATTCATAAATTGTACTTCATTAAACGTATGGAAGCATTTTGTAAAGATGGCGTGTCAATAGGATAGATTTAGATAGTATGATAGTCTCAGTTTTTACACAATGTAACGTTATTCTCTTCCCTGTGCTGTGGAAATGGCCCACGGTGCCTTGTTTTTCGATATGCTGCTGTCGATTGTGATGTTCAGGGCTTGGTCGTCTGTGTTTGTTCCCCCCAGTGGTCGCAGTGGGTAGCGACATCTGATTTTCTGAAGTTTTATTATTGTGGAAGTGGTTACCGCAACATTGAGTTGCGAAATTATTATTATTGTTTATTATTACTCCGCATTCCTCCTAACGGTACTACCCCTAGCTTAGAAATCAATGTAGGATTCCTTCAAGGTTGTCTCATTTCACCATAATTATTCATTTTAATCACTGAAATGTTATCCTTCAAGGTTGTCTCATTTCACCATATTTATTCATATTAGACACTGAAATGTTGGCGATTTAGCTCAAAAACTGACAAAATTACATTAAGAAACGAAACGTATTAGCTACAGATATCAGCCAGCTTGAAGATGATACAATAAAATTATTGAAAGATAAACACCAAATTTCAATACCCACGCAGGAAGTTAAAACATTACCTAATGTTAAATGTGAATTTTTTTTTTTGCTACACATGACTCAACAATATCAACCATCCGCAATATCTATTTTAAACCTAAGGTTAAATTTATGTTCTTTTTGTGAAAACGATGAACTCTACACACCTCATCTTGGACCCACAACCACTAGCTGCTTCCCCCAGTACCACCTCTCTTCCCCTCAGCCCCCCACCTCTGAGGGTCTGGGAAATCACTGTCTGTAGCCTTTAAAAAAAAAACAACAAAAGATCACAAAGGCATCAGTTCCAGGCAGCCTGAAAGTCTGTGCCAACCAGTTGGGTCCCATTTTCACACATATCTTCAATTGATTACTGGAGCTTTGTGTAGTTCCCTCCTGTTTTAAATATTCCACCATCATCCCAGTTCCCAAGAAACACTCCATCAGGGAACTGAATGACTACAGAACTGTTGCTCTGACATCTGTGATCATGAAGTGTTTTGAGAGACTGGTGTTGGCACACCTGAAGACAATCACAGCCCCCAGCTGGATTTGCTGCAGTTTGCCTACCAAGCAAATAGGTCCGCGGATGATGCAGTCAACATGGTACTGCATTACATCCTGCAACATCTTGAATCCCCATGAACGGGTCCTCTTTGTGCACCTCAGCTCGGAGTTCAACACCATCATCCCAGACATCCTCCACTCCAAACTGACCCAGCTCACTGTGCCTGCCCCCCACCTGTCAGTGGATTACTAGCTTTCTGACAGACAGGAAGCAGCAGGTGAGGCTGGGGAAACAACATCCAGCACCCGGACAATAAGCACAGGGATGTGTGCTCTCCCCGCTGTTGTTCTCCCTCTGTAAGAATGACTGTACCTCAGGAGACCACTTTGTAAAATCCTGAAGTTTGCAGACAACACAACAATCATCAGTCTCATCCAAGACAATGAGGAGTCAGCCTACAGACAGGAGGTTGAACAGCTGGCCCTGTGGTGTGGTCGCAACAACTTGGAGCTGAACATGTTGAAAACTGTGATAGTGGATTTTAGGAGGAGCTCCCTGCCCTATCTCCACTCACTGTACTGAACAACACTGTTTTAATCATGGAGCCCTACAAATTCCTGGGCTCCACTATCTCCCATAACCTGACGTGGACATCCAACATTGCTGGGCTCCACTATCTCCCAGAACCTGACGTGGACATCCAACATCAGAACCATCACCAAGAAGGCACAGCAGAGGATATACTTCCTGTGCCAGCTCAAGAAGTTCGACCTGCCCCAGGAGCTGCTCATACGGTTCTACAGAGGAATCATCAAATCTATTCTCTGCACCTCCATCACTGTCTGGTTTGGTTCTCCAACCAACAGGACAGGAACAGACTCCAGCGAACAGTCGGGAGTGCAAAAAATCAGTGCCAGCCTGCCCTCCATGGAGGACCTATACACCTCACGGGTTAAAGGGAGAGCAGAGAAGATTTCTGTAGACCCCTCACACCCAGGACACAATCTGTTTGAACTCCTCCCCTCTGGATGATGCTACAAGTCACTGTAGGTTTAAACAACCAGACACAAGGACAGTTTCTTCCCTTGGCCAACAGTTAGTCTATGTTTAAGAGTATGGCAGGATGGTGTACACATTGCTGTGCAACAATGTACAGATGTACATTAGCTACAGGAGCTCTTTTAACTTGTATAAATGTATGTGTGTAAATTTTTGTCTATGTATAAATGTATGTGTGTAAATTTTTGTCTTTGTTTTTTTACTTGTGCTTTTGGTTTTATTCTGTTTTTATATTGTTGTGCACATTGGGGGCCATTGAGCTGGAGTCAGATTCCTTGTATTTTTGATAATACTTGGTAATAAAGTTTATGCTTATGATTATGCTTGATTTTTTGATTCTGTTGGCCAGAATAATGCCAGAACTTTGTAGTCATTATTAAGCAAACAAATAGGGGGCCAGCTACCTATTAAATGCAGATCTTTTTTGGTTTTAGAATAAGGGTGATATGGCTTTGTGTAAGTGTAGTTGGCAAAACTCCAATTTCAATGTTTTCAGAAATAACACTGAAAAGAAAAGGTGCCAGCTTGTTGGAAAATTTTGTATAAAATTATGACCATCACTGGCAGGAGATTTATTGTTTTTAAGTTTCATACTAGCATTCAGGACTTCATCTTGAGGTATTTTGCTGTCACAAAATGATTTATAACCTTCAGAGGTCACTTTGCAGTTTTTAATCAAGTTTAGAAACCGAGATGCTTTATCCTCAGACTACCTGGATGTATAACGTGTACTGTAAAATCTTGAGCTGAAAGAAGCAGTCTCTTTGGGATCTGACATAAAGTTTTTAGTTTGAATTTTTTTAGAGAAAAAATTATTTTTTTGAATAGTGGAGGGAAGTGGTGCCGCCATGTCCATCGTATATATATCAACATTTTTGTTTTATTCAGGCACTTACTTTTTACATCATCCAGAGATGCAAAACATCCATAAAATCTATAGCCCTTAATGGAGTTTATCACTGGGGGCATTTTGACCCAAAACACTGACAGTACATAGTCACTTGATTACAGCCATATAAAATATCAATGTCTAGTCACAATATTTTCTTTTCTATAGAGATTTAATAAAATTTGAAAAAGTCATAAAATATGGCAAAAAGAATATCGATAAATATGTTTTTGAAACAGTTAAAGTATAACTGGGACCATATTAGATTAGATTAGATTAAACTTTATTGTCATTACCCATGTACAAGTACAAGGCAACGAAATGCAGTTTAGCATGTAAACAGAAGTGCAATAGCAGCAGTGCAGAGTGTGCAGTATCTACAGCATGTACAGTCAGAACTAATTTACCGATAGATATGTACTGAAGCCAAGTACAAGAGTGAATAATGGCATCAGAGGGCTCTGTAAATTATAGCTACTTCTGATTTTAAAATGTCTTCTTCTAATTTCTGATATTGAATTTAATGATAACGTTACATATTTACGATAAAAACAATCACACTCAAACTTTCACAACAGAAGGACAACTGTAATGCTTATTTATGGAGATCTCCATACGAGTCGAGATGAACTGCGCTTCGCCCTGGAAACGGATGAGAGTAGGTGGTGTTTTTTTTTTTTTTTTTATATACTTTATTAAGGCATATGACAGTTATACATAAGTAAATAGAACGGAAACAAGAGGACTATAACATAAAATAAAGAACATAAAAACAAGAACAACATCGAAGCAGACAATGTGAACATGAAACTT